AGGAGCTACTGGACTCTGCCGGCAGGTTGTTGGCCAGCAAGCGCATCAGGGACTACTACTCTGGCAGCTGGGTAGCCATCAGCACCATGACCCTCAACGGCGACCTGGCCAAAGCAGCCGCCAATGCTAAAATCGGGTCGGCAGCACGCTCCGCCGCGGCGCCCGTGAAGCTGATCTCTTAATTGCAAATGGATGACCTCTTCGTAAAGAGCCTCAGAGTGTATAGGGTCGTAGAGAGGCTTGTGCATCACATCGAAGCAGCTGCCGAACGTCAGCAGCCAAAGTGAAATTCGTCTGATGCTTGGGCGCCGGGCAGGAAGATGAGAAGACACGAAGGCTGCAAGCCCTCCAAAACATTGAATTGCATCCGGGATGATACTCATTGCTTCCCTTCCTGCCTTGCGCGTCAGTTTTGTTCACCCTGGAGCACAGATCTCCGTGGTGAAGGCAAAGAGCCCCGCTCACCGAGATCCCCAGACCTTTCTGCCCGACCAAAGTTTTCACGAAAAGACGGAAAGTGAAAGGCTGGCCGATTTAGGAGTCAGCGGGGCCAGGCCTTACAGAAGCTCGCCGAAGCACTGGACCTAGCAATTGCAGTCCATGTGCTGCAGCGCGTGCGTGCGCCTTTTGCGGCCGGAACGGTCGAACCTTCGGGCAAAGAAGTTGCTCATGTTTCGCTCATAGAAATGGCGTTTGCATGCTTGGGGTGATGCGACCAACCTTGTCGAAACTGTTCGTGGCCTTCATGTTGCGGACGTTTGGGGGATGTTTGGAGCAGGTCACTGGGTGTGCCGGCTTGTTGTATCGATGTTCGAACAGGTAGGTTGGGCAGGGACGTGACCAGGCCTTATATTAATCCTCCGGGTGCGAAATTCGTGCCGCTTGGGAGATGTTCAGATGATTGAGATGTCTTCCAAACAAGAAATCAGGTACCTTGCCAGCGAGCATCGACTGTTGTGGAACATCAAGAAGTTCCAGGGCGGGACAGAGGCCGAAAGTCCTGACCGACTCGAGGGTCTGGGCATGATATCCTAGCTGAAGGCTGCCATCAAGTGTCGCGTCACACTTTCTGCACCCGTCTCCAACGTCCAGAACATAAAGAAGGAGGCGTGGGAACATGTGGCAACCAAATCTGCACTTCCGTCCTTGATATTGCTTGTGCAGGTGGGTCCCGTGTCGCTAACATATGAGATCCCGATGTACAACGTCTCCAACCTGCAGGCGCGACTTGCAGCCTGTTCCGCTGCAGAGAGTCGAGTGGCCGGTGGGTGCTGGGTACGGCCGCCCTACATTGTGGCCCCACCAGATACGATAACCTGCCAACAGGTTAGTTGCTCGCAGCTCAAGGCAAGTGAGATCCGTGGAAGCGTCGCCATGGGCCGCCTCCTCGCCTGTCTTCTCGCACTTGGCTTCGCCGATGGTGCGGGTGTGGAGCCGATACTCGATTCGGAAGTGGGGACAGGCGCTGGCAGGCGGCCTCACATCCTCTTTCTGATGGTGGATGTCGCTTGTTTGCAAGACCCTCTGGCTTTATGGCCGGCTTGGGCCTGCTGTGCCTTTGTGCATTTCTGTACTTTTCCTGCACCAATCACCAATCTAAGCAAATGGATGGGCGACTTTTGGATGATGCCACGCCACAATTCAAGCCACCACTTCCAAATTTGCGGGCACTGGCTGCTGACGGCGTGTACTTTCCCCAGGCACTGAAGTCAAGTGGCCGGTGTAGTGCAAAGAACTTGTAAGACCCATGTGAGCTGCAGGCATATTCATCATCTCCTCAGTGTGTGCCTGCCCGATCTTCAATGTTGGCTGGACGGTACCCGTCGCAGATCAAGGCGTGGACAGCCTGAGAGCGAAGCGCGGGCACACTGAGTCACGTGTCCATGACTTTTGGCCTTTTTCCAGGTTTGGGACAACTGGGTCGGCATTGCCAGCGTGAACGGTAGCCTGGACAACATCGATTCGCACTGTGCCAAGACTTTTTCGGAAGAGACGTGTCGCAGATTTGCCATTGAGCAGAAGGTGAATGGCACTTTCATTGATGCGTTAGCCGCATCGGGATACAATGTCACTCTGTGGGGCAAGATGCACGCAGGCGCGGGGCTTCACCACTACTCGGGAAGGATCGATGCTTGGCCTTGGGGTGGGAAACGCCTTCCGAAGGCAGCCATGGAATGGACAAGGGCCCTTGGCCTTACACCCGACCAAGAGGTACCAGGCCTCCCGACGGAGGATGACTTGCAACGGCCAGCGACGGGGCCCCTTGACTATGCAGCCAGCCGAAGCTGCACGGAGCTCCTCGATTCCGGTCTCTTCAAGTCCTCCACACCTCAATTTCTCTATTGCTCACTCCTGGTGCCTCACAGTCCGTTCTGGACCAATGCGACGTACCTGGCTCAGGCGCCTGACTCGCAACCAGCTTGTTAACACCTGCCGTAATGGAAAAGTAATCAGGAAAGAGCCGCTGAAGTGCATGAAGCTTTGCTTGGCCAAGCAATCAGGCTGCTGTAAAGTAACAGAAAACCCGTGGAGCAGGAGCAAGGCACCGGACGCCAATCTGAGGTGCCTGACCTGGGGAACTACAGCTTGCCCCAATGGCCTCCCAAACTGGAGGTGCACCCGGCAGACGAATATACCTCCAGAACCAAAAAACTTTGGCGCCTGGATGAGACTTCACCTGAAAAGGCCTGATGCAGCTGCGAATATGCTGCGATGCATAGCCTCAGAAGCAGTCCGGTCACAACTGTGTTTACTTTGCAGGTGGCGCACCTTCGAAAGGTATACTTCTCTATGTGCATAGAGGCAGATCAGCTCCTGGGAAGCATCATTGATGCCTTCAGACGCAGCAGCAGCTTCGATGATGCTTATGCTTCTTGGCAGGCAAATAGCCGACAGATGTTGGGCAGCATGACGCGGCATGCCATCAGGTCATAATGCTTGGAGACCATGGTGAGCATGCAGCGGAGAATCGCATGCTTGGTAAGTGCCTTCGACAAAGATTGGGCAGCCATCATGCTATGCAAACCTCATTGTATGCCCTGTGGTTTATTTATACGCTTATTGACGAAAGCCAAGACCCGAAACAAGCCAAGCGATCGCGGAAGCACAGAACGCACGCCGAAGCATCTTTGCAGAGCACACTGAGTTGCTGCGGCCCCCGACTCCCTAGAGTGACATGTCAACAGATCTTATGTAGAGCATCAGCTGGAGAAGGATCTGCCAACAGTAGCAGGCAGTTGTCTCATTGCCAACAGAATCAAAACTTCGGCGCGAGACATCCTGGCCTCTAGGTGTTACTGTATGGATGCAAGTGTTGGTCGAATTTGAGTGCAAATCTCAATCCTAGTTTCAAGCTTGCAGCTGTGCAAGCAGACAGCTTCGAAAGTTTTCAAAAATTGAATCACCAGTATAGCAGATGTGCTCGAGCCGGACGAGCATGGTCGTGGCACTGGAGCTACAGTAGTGCAATCGTGGAACCAGGTTCGTGCTTGTGGTGTTCGGTTATTGATGCGCCGTTTCGACAAATTTGCTCGCCAACTGTACTGACTCTGGTCGCATGGCACAGTGAATGGAGCCCTGACACAACCATGGCCGAGGAACTCTTTTTTCGAGGGAGCAGCGCGGGTGCCACTCATGATGGCTGGTCCAGGTATTTCAAAAGGCCAGGTCATCCAGGATCTCACCTCACTTTATGAGCCCCGGCATCCCTTGATCACGTGGGGCGGAAACAAATCCGATTACATGTTGCTTCGGAGGAGTGGTCCCCAAACACTTGGAAGGGTGTTGGGGCTTCAGGATTTTGAGATTTTAGGATTTGGAACGGGGATCCAGAGTCTAGTGTAGGTTTAAAAATTTTTGGGGCTTTAGGGTCAGGGTCTTAGTGCTTGACGGTTCCGTGCCTGTGACTGAGTGTTGGTTTTTGCGTGAGGGCGCTGGAAGAATCACCAAAATCACAGCAGCAGAGACAGTCACCTCCTTCCGGAATGGACACAGCACCGGCAGTGAAACTGATGGTCAATTGGAAACTAGTCGACGGCACGGTCTGACAGTCTTGCATCAGCAGCGATAAAGTTACCGAAATTCGTAGAGAAAAATGAGCGGCAAGCTCACGATGGCCTGAACATTGCTGCAAGCTAGTTTCTCACACACACACACACAAGCAGTAAGACTTGGCGAGTTGTCGAAGTAAGAGTCGGCTGAGAATCAAACGAACCACCCCAAACCACAGGAAAATGGCGAAGACAGCTGGAACCCCCGAGTCCCTGCATCGGCGTCCCAGAAACCTTTGGCTTTGTTAGGGTGGTCCTGGCGATGGGGTTGACAATAAGAGAAAAAGACTGCTACCCAATTGGCGCGCCCAAAACTGAGCGGACGGTCGCTTGCCTCATTTGAGGACATCTTTCCAACTGTTTTGGATATGGCCGGCGTCGAGCCATCAATTCAGCCGGTGGGAGCATCCCGGCTGCAAGCAGCTGGCATTGCAGGTAAGCTACATGTTCAGATGTGTGAAGCCACCAGGAGTCCCTCCTGCCCGTGGTCAAAGAACATCAGAAGAGGAAGAAAGATTTCGTTGTGGCTGAGTACCATTCCGCGGCTCAACTGTAAGAATCCAAAATCTCGTTGAAGACTTCCATTCGAAAATGTCAGTTTGGATGGCGCACGCAGCGCTTGTCCTGTATGCCTTCAGGGGCAGGCAGCTTCCAAGGTGTTTTCCGCTACAGGCAGCTTCATGATCCGCCAGGGGCACTTCAAGTTGATTGCATACGCGCCGCTAATGCCGGGCGCAGCTGCTTGGCCACCGCAGCTCTTTGACCTGCATGCTGATCCGTGGGAGAAGCACAACATTGCACCGAAGCCTGTCACGAAGAATCTTCGTAGCCGGGCGCCGGTGTGAACTTGCGCTTCCGATGCTGCATCACAGTGCCGAGGAACTCACCGTCGGATGTCCAAAGGCTCATGGAGCTGCTCGACCAAGAGCTTGACATGAAAGCAGCAGATGCGGCCAAGAAGATGTTTGACAAAGAGATGTTCTTGCATTTCTGGTACCATGCAACAGGCTGGCAGGGGTCTGAAACAGTCTGCCGGCACAGCGGTTGCTTCTCGTTGGCTGAGATGGCAATGGTGACATGATCATGAGTCATGAGCATTAACTGGTCGAGATGCTCAGGCTGCACTGACACTTGAATGTCCACTGAGTGTCAGAGGCAGTGCGCAGCATTGCTTCAACGCCATGCGCAGAGTCTATGCGCCGCTCGGGTGCAGGTTGATGCTGATGCAGTTGCAAGGGCTATCCTAGCCTGCAGCCCTAGCAGTATCAAGCCAGCACTTGTTTGCCATTCTCTCCCGGAGCAGGTCTTTCTCAGCAGCTGATGCCCAGAAGTTAGCGCAATGGCTCGGGAAGCCTTGCCCAGTGACTGAGATTCTAGTCTGATCTGCACGGAGCTGAAGCTGAGCAATCCCTGCAGAGTGTCCTCGGGCAGCCCGTGAACTGAGACACGGTCTGACCAGCTTCCTTGCCCAAGCAGATATATGTCAAGCTGTACCGCTGGAGTTGTCCGCACATGGACAACCTTAAGTGCAAGACACTGGCCTGAGATCCGATCGACAACGACATCCGGAGCTGCAAGCAGGTTGCGTTTGCACTGGGAACGCGGGAACATGGACTTGGAGCTCTGCGCAAGCTTGGATACAAAAACCGCGGGGTCTCTGCATTGACAGTAGCTGCTCATGGCAGAGTTGTGTGAGTGGCTAAGCACAATGTTCGATCAGCTGCCAGTTATCACCTTGTGCGTTTATCGTCGCTATGCAGGTTCGCTATCTGCGCATAGCAGAGAGGCACAAGTCCTACAACCCATGCAGATGGGTCAGGCCGGGCAGCAAGCCTCGGACTCTGAGGGACTGTAGCCCAGTGAATCCAAGTGCCATCCAGTCCCCCGTGAGCATTTTGGAAAGAGTTGAAGCATGTCTGCTAGGTACGTGACGCAGTCATCATCCTACGTTTGCCGATTCTGAGCTTTTCCAGAGCTGCTTCCTTGACATGGAATCCGACGTGCTAGGGAACCTGCTCCCATCTCCTGCCACAGCGGTAGGGCAAGAGAAGACTATTTGGGTGCCTCACTGCTCCATTGCTTAGCATGTGCTTTTCCAGCAACAGTCCTGCCTAAGCCGCGATGTGCTGCCGAATGCAATGACCACGCTGTGTTCGGTTCAGTTACTGCAAGACGGCTAGCGAAAAGCACATCGTATGCATCGTCAGACATACAGGACTGCTGCCCAGGCATACAAAATGGCCGTTCAATGAACACTACAGTCGCTTTCTCTGGGGGGTTGAGACGGCCCCTGTCAGCTTGAATTGCTGCACTTGACGCACTTCGCACGGCGGAAGCCTATGAGCCTGCAACGAGAACGTTGCGGGGGCAGGCACGTGCATCGCCGCATCGCTCCTGCGGTTCCTTTTGGCTCTTTGTCAACACTAGACTGGTGAGACGAAGGATTCTCACCACACGCTTGGGCCACATGCTGATTGAAGTGCTTTACGGGTTTAGGGGGCTCGACATCTTTGTGGTTGCCTCAATCATGCTTTGGCAGTGTCTTCAACCAATACGAACACCCGACCACATGACTGACATTTTCCAGTGCAGCATTCACTAAACACCGAATTGCACGTTTGTGAGAGCCCGTGGCAGTGCTCACGCCTCGATGACGGTGCCTTGAGACAGCAATAAAGTTATCCTACACTTCCTGTCTCAGCTTCGCCATTCCATTTCCATGCAAGTTCATGCATGTGCAAGACTTGCCTTGGGCAGTCAGTTTCACGCTGGGATCGAGGGCGAAGGACGTTAGCAAGCTGAACTGGAGCCACGGCTCTGTGTCCAGGAATCGGCCTATTCCCGGGTGGCTGGGCACCAAGATGCAGCACGTGCAGAACCTGCAATTAAACAAGCTGGTGCAGCAAGCGATCTCAATTGGCTGGTTTCTCAGCAGTGGCGTGTTGGCATCTTTGTCGTGCCAGGCTCAGAGTGCCAACCCGATCACCAAAACGTGTGAAGCTGAGATGACTGAGCTTTGGTGGACGCGAGAGTTTCGCACTTTGGGTGGGGTCCCTGACTGCGACATGGCGTGTTCGCGAAGCGGCTTCTTCGGAGAATGCAAGCCCTGCCCAGGATAGAGTTGGGCCTTGTGGACGATGAGCCGTAGCCTCATGCCGTTCCAAGCAAGAGCATCTATGGGTCTGACACATGCAGGCATCTAGGGCAAGCAAACATAACATCGAGCGAATAGAAGAGGCCACTAGGCCACCCTCATCTTTTGCTGAGACTGATCCTTCGCTCCGACACATCCTTGTGTGCCGGAGTCGGTGATTCGGTCTGAGCGTGAGGTTGCCAAGCCATAAGCGGCCTGACTGAGGGACGTGGAATCGGAGGGCTCCGCCAAGAATCTGCCAAGGCGGTCACGGTGCAGCGATACGTTCACCCCTGTGTTTTTCTACAGATCTGGCTGGGATGCCAGGCTAGTTGGCGAGCTTCCCTCCGATCGCCAAGCCCGCCGTCGTGCTTTGGAGAGCCGGCTGCGCATCGCTCATGCCAAGGTCCGACCTGCTCTTCCCGCCTGAATTTCGGAAAGAAAATAAGAGGCTCATCAAAGTCAAGGCTCTGCATTGCTTGAGGAAATTTGCTGCATCGTTGTGCCACTTAAGTTGTTGGGTTGCAGCTGACGATTTGCGTCTTTGTGCCGATGAGAGTCTTCAAGCCTGGGTACTCAGATTCATTCCCCGTAGGTGCTCTTGGAAGCTTTTGAGGCGGTTTTGGAAGGGACTAGGGGCCTGACTGAGCAGTTGTTCTGGCGCGGAGCCAGGTGGCAGCACTCACGCAGCGGCCACTGGCACACGGCAGGTCTCAGCATTGTACGGGGCACGTCGCGGCTGGGCATCCGCACCTCTGACAAGCGCTAGGTGCTCCATTTTTGGTTTGTGTGCCCGGAGCCGAGACTCGACAGCCTTCGGGCTCGCCGAGGATGCCGTCCATTCCCGAGCCCCGAGGTGCTGGCCATGATTCGAAGTGCAGCCGCATACCAGGGAAATATCCCTGGCTATTCTGCAGGATGCTTGGAAATGCCCAAGCCAAGGTTTAAGGGATTCACTGTGCAAAAAGACCAGGGCTTGACTGAACACTTGAGCTCTGCATCAAAATTGCACATGTGCGTGGAGTCGTGGGTACTCGTAACTGAAGACTGTGCCGTACAGGTTTATGCGATGCATTTTCTGACGACCTCGCTCGAGCCTCAGCTTGCACCGTAGGCCGAAGATGGCCGAAGAAGGGCGTAGGCACGTCGCTGTCGGAATCAGTGCGTCTTGGAGCTCGGCGGCTCAGGTCCGACATGATTTGCGTCCTGTGCAGCCTGCCGCTGTTTGCGCTTGGCACGCGAGGCATCGTGTCAACGGACCTGAAGAGATAGTTCTCTGGTCCTGCTTTTGGCATGGTCGAAAGTTTCCGATCCCCGTGTACTGTGAATCCACGTCAGGTCTTTGCGTCCAGAAAGGCTGCCTTGGTCCAATGCTGACATTGGCCACTCTGGCGCATTGAGTCGTGCGCAGGGCTCCGTTCGAACCTAATACTTGCTTGCCAGGTGTTTGCAATGTCCCTCGTCGATCTCAGTGCTTTCGGCGCGTGCGCCAGTTTTTGAATTGACAGCTGCAGTAAGAGAGTCGGAAACACCGCACAGAAGTAGAAGATCACTATTCGGCTATTCCGAGTACAAGCTCTTTCAGAGTCTTTCCACTGTTAAACGTAACGGCAATGTATTGAACCGCTAACTCTTCATAATGTCATAGCAGTCGTAGTGGTGGTGGTAGTAGTAGTAGTAGTAGCAGTAGTAGCAGCAGCAGCAGCAGTAATAGTAGTAGCAGCAGCAGTAGAAGCAGCAGTAGTAGTAGTTGTTGTTGTTGTTGTAGTAGCAGCAGCAGCAGCAATAGCATTAGCACCAGCAGCAGGTAGTAGCAATAGTAGTAATTAGGTTAATAGCAATACAATGGCAAGAGGGAGTGGCAGTAGCAGCATAGTATTCTTATTATTATTGGTAGCAGTCGTCATCGTCTTCATCCGAGTAGCTGTTGATTCGTAGACTAGTACGCAGGCGTAAGAGCACTTCGAGTCGTACTGATAATAATAAAATCAAAAAGTAATTCCAAACGTGATGGTACAAGTAGTAGTACTGGTTATTAGTCGTAATCGAAACATCACCATCATCGTCAATAATTGTAGTAGCAATAACAGTAACAGTAACGGAAATAAGAACGGGAACAGTAACAACAACAGTAATATTACTCGCCACAGGAATGGTAAGGAAAGTTTGCTGGCGCGGTGTGCCGCGGCCAAGTTTTTTCCCCGAACAGTGCGATACCACTTTCGGGTCGTTGCATTCAGAGGAGCGTATTTTCATGCATCCAGGTATCTAGGTACCTATGCATGGATGTATGTATATATGTGTCTATGTATATATGGTCAGGCGCTCCGC